CTTTTTCAACGTCACTTATGATTACATTTAACCCACAAAAATATAAAGCATCACAAAAATATACCACTTCATTATGACGCAATTACCGCAGCAATGACGCACACATAATGCAACTAAGCACGTGAGTACGCAAACATATGTACATTTACATAAGCATATACGAAAATTTCCCAAAATAGAAAATTGAAAATCAATACTCATGCCAAGAAAGGATTTTACAAAAATCAGCATAGTGAACATCAAAAAAGTTGAACGCAACCATCCCTCCACATTTCATGTGATCGTACTGGTATAGTTTACATGAATTCTATTTATTGTTAAACTTTATTGAAAATATAATCGTCACATAACACTCGGTTTATACAACTAATTATATTGATAATTTGTTAGCATCATATATTCTACCAGAGTAATAATACTATTAATAGCCTAATTTATCGAATGTAACGAAACGTTTTATCAAAAATTCAATTTGCTCATGATATTTAAGGATCGATATCATGCTTGATGCTGTCATGACATGATTCAATTCCATTCATTAGAATTTTGAGATCTATGGAGTTATTCTCTTTTTCGCTTTCAATTCAATTAGGTATATTTATTTTTCTCTCTGTATTTTCTTCTTCAAAGGTTTAACAGCGCTTAATGATTTTAACATTTGACGGTCATTATGTTGAATAATTATCAAATATTTAAAAAGACGATATTGAATTACTCGGAAATTATATTTGTTGCTTGAACGAACTGCATCCTCTACGAAAAATTGTGTATAACTTTTTAAACTGACTGGTCTTAATTTCTTTGAATAACGATATAGGAAATGAGTGTAAACAATCAATATACTGTATTTTCCAATAATTTATACTTATGCTTAATTACCCAGAATATAAATAATTTATCTTGTGCCATCCCTATAACATAAACTTGCATTCCTTATTTTAAAGATAAAATCTTTCTATGTATTGTCTTTACCATAAAAATTCAATATGCGATTTAAATTAATTTATTTCGAAAATAATGAGTTTAATAAATCATATTTCTGAAATCAGAAATTGAAATAGATGTATTTTTCTTACATCGTAAAAAAAAACAACAGATTTTATAGATAGATCACTTACCGTATTTTAAAACAAATATGTCACTAATTTTACACAAATCAGCAACCTGATCATTAATTCTTGAATAATCCTAATATGTATGTATATAATAAGTACATAAAAAAGTTATGAGATAGGGTTTAATTATTTAAATCCATAATAATTCTGTTTATTAACTAATATTTTTAAATAGGTTAAATTTTAGCTTAGCAATGCATGCCCATCTTTCAGAATTAGGAGTTATGTCGATACATCATAGGATTAATATAAGCACCATTTACATATCATGATTTTCAATTTTTTTTTATATAAGATTAATTTTTTTAAAAAAATACACTTATGTTTATTTTAAATATTCATGCAAAACCTATTGAAATACAAAGAGTTTATAGAAAGCTTGCATTTAAAAAACTAGCTAATGCGTAGCATTGTGTCTCCCCAGTACATATATATTTGAGTTTTGTTTTTGCTGCACTAAAGTCGGATATAATTACGTGTGTGGAGAGACATTCATTCAAAAACTTATCTGTTACTACATACCACATAACATAACTAAACATTTAATGTCCTTCGTTACGCTCCGAACAATATTATAATGTTTAACAATATGAAATTTTTTTAGAATGTTCAATATTTAATTTTATAATACGTTTGGCACCTTTTTTGAAAATATTTCTAACCCTCGATTTGAGCAATCAAGTGCACTAATTGGTATACATGGGTGCCTAAATTGCCCATCTTAATAAAAAAGTAATTACGGCATTTAGGCAGCCGAAATTATTCTTATATAGTGCCGAAATTAATTTTCATATCTGCCGAAATTATTGCCGAAATTTTTTGAACACCTTTCATCAAAATACATCATATAATATAGTTATTTCGAAGGGTTTCATATAAAAAATTTAGCAATGCCGAAATGTTTGCCGAAAATACAATTTTTCAAAAATAATTTATGCACCCGTGTATCCCAACATGTTTCTTAATATATTAACATAAAACGGACCATCCATTATTCCCCAAAAACAAAAAAGACTAGTTTTACCCTTACAGTAAAATCCACCCCATGCTTTAATTTTTACTTTGTCCTTAGGAATTCTATGTACAGGACGTTCGTCCTTATACCAGTACTCTACGGTATTCCTAAACAGTTGAAAGGCTGTTTCGTCAGAAAATAGAGTTCGACTCCAGTCGTGTTTAAGGTATTTCCTTCCCCACTCTACACACTTTTCCATGCGCTTAGCCGTAAGCATTGGTGTGGCATAAGCTCGACCTTTTTTATACCCAAGCTGGGTTAAATGGTTCCAAATCGTTACTTGAGAGACTTGAACTTCTCTTTTGAGCAAATTTACCGCCAAAGTCCTTGTAGATATTGCCGGGGCCCTTTTTATTTGCTGTATAAGGGCTTTTGTGATTCTGGTAAAGATTTTTTGGGGGCGGCCACTCCGCTCTTGATGTACTACACTTCCATTTTTTTTTAGTTTGGAAATATTGTAGTATATAGTGGACCTTGGAATATGCGTTCGTTTGCGAATTTCGGTTGCACTTTGTATTCCTTTGCCCCAAAGTTGTTGAACTGCTTTGGCATTGGTATCTTCGTAGGTATACATTGTACTCGTTTAAAAAAAAAAAAAAAAACAAGGAAAACTACGTATTCTAAAAAAAAAAGATTGATTGATAATCAATAAGTAAATATTTTGGTTGCCGGGATACTAACCAAAAATGAAAATTTTATGATCATCAAAAAATTGCACGCGATCTTCGTCCAAAGACTTTTTTAACACACTGTATATTAATTCGTGTGATTCAGATGCTTTAATTTAACGGGTAGAAACGACTTCTTACATAAAAGGTATGTAATATATGTTCGAATAATCAATAATTAATTTCTATTAAAACAAAGAACTCGGATTGTAGCCATTCCGTGTATTCTTAACATTTTCAATTTAGAAATTGAAAAAATACTGTAACATGCGTTACTTTGCAATCGGTGAAATCGATAAAAATTTATTAAACGTAAATATTACAATTAAATATGCATTTTGATTAAATAAGTTTTATGTTAAATAAAAAAATTGAAAAATAATCGTAAATATATATATATTATTACATATTAAGGAATTTTTGCATTCACCACGTAAAACCATCCACATTTTCTTGAACATACCGAATTATTTTTCTGCAAGAGCATGACTTAGTGTTGCAATTCATTTTTTCGACTCGATACATTGTGGATATGACTCAAAATACGGGCATAGTGCCATAAATTGTCATAATTATAATGCATTAATGTATAGATATAATTTATTACAACTATAACAAGTATTGGTATTCTGTTGTCTGACGCATAAGATCCTAGCATCAACAATCTAAAAAAATTTCGCTGCTAGCGTTAGTGCTAGGTTTGGGTGTATTTTTGTTTTGATTTTATGTTACAACTAATCCTGAAACTTAATTTAATTTGTTGATGACGCTAGGGAGGTTGTCAGGCACAACACAATTTCAAAACTTACTTTTAATTCACATATTCCCGTTCCTGGTTTCGCTCAGCTATGTTGCGCAGCTACTTATCTAATGCTATGGAAATTTAGATAATTGATATCAAATTTTACTGTAATTAATAATCTTTAGATTTTGAGATTGGTTGAATTATATTTGATTGAACCTCAATTACGGGTGCCGACGTTGTTTATCTAGACGGTATTGTATTCATATTATAAATCTTTAAAGCCATATGAAAATGCCAAAAAAATTTTTTAATTAAGCCAACGCGAACTTACCCATTTGGTTTAAATAAAACGCGTATCAAGAATGTGGAATTTGTCTACAGTACTATCCGTAACTCTATGTTTGATAATAGGAATTAAAATATCTTAGCGGTAATTACATACTGTATACACGCGTTACTGATAAAGAAATAAAAGAATTAGAATGTGAATATTTTTTTACACATATACAGTACAACTTTCTTGTAATTAATTATGACATTTATTCATTTATCAATTGGTATTATTTTTATGTAGGTTTATCACATTTATCTTTCCTGAATTTGGATTTTACTCAAGCATATCTAGTATTTTAGCTGGTAAGTAGAGTTTGGATCCGGTCACCCGTTTTCATCCGCTTTCATATTAAATTTACCGGATATCCGACGGATTTTGCTATTAAATTTGTATCCAACGGATAACTGGATCCAAACTCTACTGGTAAGAAAGCATCAAACTTCTGAATCACTTATGCAAGGACTTTATAATACATTTTAAACAATATTTTATTCTTTAGATATTCTCCACAAAGCCAGGTCCGCAAAACTTTATGTAACAGTTTATCTTCCAAATATCAATTAGGCCAATATGAACTATGAATAGTTTTTTTTAATATATCTGTTATGTTGATATTAGAAACACATTGATGGAGAATAAATTTATAAATTATAAAAAAAAAAGAATATAAATATTTACTATATCATAGTTAAATCATTTCGGTTTAACATATGACAGAAAATATGAATAATTAAAAATGTGAAGGGATTACATGCGTAAGTCTTGGATAATTCCATTTTTTTAATACAATTTCATTATAGCTACTAATATATCTACTAATATATAACTTCTGCCTTTTAATCTCATCTTTTGACCTCAATTTTTCCGATTCTTGCGTTTTCAACTCTTAAAAATAAAATTTTCGTTTTTATTACAAACTTGCTGTTGCTGTTGTTGTAAGCAATATTTGAATCACATAAATTTCTTACGATTTTGATTCACTTTCAATATTAAAAAAAATGTAGGCAATTATTTTGGTATAAAGAATGGACCATAAAAAGTTACGTATCAGAATTTAAAATTGACTCTGATATATTACTTCGTGTGATTAATTTAACGGTTAGAAGCGACTTACAAAAAAGGATGTATTATATGTTTGATTATCAATAATTTATTTTTTTATTAAAACAAAGGACTCGTTTTTTATGGCCATACCATGTTTTTCTTAACATTTGTCCTTTTGTTGAAGATATTTTTCAATTTATGTCGCTTCGAAATTGATGTCAATCATAAATTTAAAAATAACATATTGTACGTTACTTTGCAATCGGTGAAATCGGTAATAAATATTACAATTAATTAAATATGCATTTTTTGATTAAATAAGTTTATGTTAAATAAAAAGATGAAAAAAAAATTGTAAAGAAAAAAAAATTTATTTTTATACTGGTCGTGTAAAATACACTACACATCTTGTACTTAGTGAATTGGTTTTTCGACAAGAACTAGTTTTAGTATTGTAATTAGTTTTTGTCAATGACAGCAATTAAGTTGGGGAGTTTTTTTTTTTGAGTCCTTTCTCTTGTGATGCCTTTTTTTTTGGTAGAAAAAATGTTCATTTCTGAAGAACTGCCAAATCGTTGAATTAAATTAAATAGTTTATAATGTTATAAATTACTGTATTTATTAGAAAAATGAATTTTTAACTGTACATTTAACGTCAGCTTCGATTTTTATGCTGATTTTAAATTAATACGTTATTTTAAAATTTATACCGAATTGGTTAATTTAATAACATATATTATTAACATAAATTCCAAAGCCTCTATTTTTGCAGATTGCGTCTTCAACCGTTTGCTGTGGATGTGACAAATTTTTTCAAGTTTTATCGTAATCTGCACATTCAGTTGCTTAGTTCATGAAACTAATTATTTATAAAAATTTCAATTGAACAAATTTGTGTTCTTAATTTTCTTCAGCTAGCTTAATTAAATGAAACTCTTCAACTGTACCAGTATAAAAAATTTAATGAAGATTGGAATTTTTTAATACTGTAATATTAAATAGCATTTTATTTTTCCTTTTGATAATGTAGATTTTCAAGATTTGATTAAAAGACTTATGACTCAGAAAGATATATCTTTGTGGTTCTATGGTTATTATTGAAGAAAAAAAAACTTTTTATTAAGTCAAAATTTAATTATTATTATTATTCTTCTTCTTCTTATTTATATCTAATTTCTTATAGAGTGAAATAGTTATGGCGCAAAAATTTGGCGGTCCTGTGATTTTTATAAAATTCGGAAAAAATTATCACTGTTTAATTAGTCACGGGACCTCAGGCAGACATTCGTATGATTGGCAGTTTAAATCAAATTAATTTTACTTTATACAGTTTAAAGTGCTTTTTAAAAAAAATAAAACTACTCAGAATAAACAAAAAAGAAGTATATAGAAAGTTTTATTAGGGTTTAGGACTCCACTAATAAAAATAATCAAAATTCTTTTTTTGTTTTAGAGAAGTTAGCGTAATAGCGACTTCTTAACGATAGATAGAATTAGGTTATCACCATGATAACTTCTCTAAAACAAAAAAGAATTTTGAATATTTTTAATAGTGAAGCCCTACAGCCCTAATAAAACTTTCTATATACTTCTTTTTTGTTTATTCCGAGTAGTTTTATTTTTTTTTAAAAAAGTACTTCAAACTGTATAAATAATGTAAAATTAATTTGATTTAAACTGCCAATCATGCGAATGTCTGCTGTTGCAACCGTGGGAGAGACTTGGTTAACGTGAGGTCAAATTAGCTCAGGGTTGCAAGCATAGGTTATGCGAGATGAATGTTCTTTTGGATTCGGAATTAATGATAGAGGGTTATTAAGGAATGTATTTATTTATTTAGTCGGAGCAAAAAAATAATTATATTCTTTATTTACTCAAGCACTGTATTTATACATTTTAGTCTGCCGTGGTTTGAAACCAAGATCTGTGGTCTCAAACCAAGATCGGTGGTCCTGGACCAAGATCTATGGTCTCAAACCACGATCGGTGGTCCTGGACCAAGACTATGATCTCAAACCACGATCTGTGGTCCCAAACCTAGATCTATACACAGCCACTTAATAACGAAACACAACACTGCCTAAAACACGGGACCACCAAATTTTTGCGCCAACTTTTTATTGTAATGCTTTGCATCATTTTCAGTTTATATCAATTACCAATTAAATATACACTATTTGTAAATTAAGAATGATACTGTTATTTTGAAATCGGTACATATCTATTTAATAGAGGGGATTTCAGAGTTAAGGTTCAAGTTTCTGATTTTAAATTAAATTAGTAACGTATTTATGTCGTACATCGGAACGAAATTATTGTAGATTAGAATCTACTTAGGTTGGAACGGAATTCCAAATGTAGTTCAAGTTGACGAAATTTAAAAGCAACTTAGTCGATTCTATATTTGGTACTATATAATTGATAAATTTAATAACAACTTGATTTTAAATTCGATACTGTAATAAATCATGATATATTGTCAAGATAAATGCAAATATTTATTATTTCTTTTTTTTTTTTTTTTCACTTTTTCATTCTTTCTACCTGATAACTGAATATTAATATCCACTTTTACCCCGTAATTTATTCAAAGAATTGTATTCCAAATATTTTAATAATGAGTCGGCAAATAGGCAACATAGAACCTTATGTGAAGAATTTGTTTTTGTATTAAAGTTTTACAAGATTCAGCAAATATAACAATCAAGGCTGCAATACGTGATTAAAATAGTATTCTTTCAATGCTCATAGGCATCGAAAAGCATCTATTATGCAATCCTCTTCACAAATAGATAATATTAAATGCAATTGCAAAAATGTAAGAGATAAAATCTCTATAAATGTAAAATAAATATACCCTGTAGGAATAGTTGCTATCCCACTAATCATAGATGTAAAAATTCCGTGTAATGCCTTTTAAATTTAATTAATTTGCAATCCACTATTATGAATAAATTCAATCTTAAAAGTAATTTAAATTCCAAATAACGTACTCGATGAAATAAATTGGAAACACATAATTTTGTTGTAAGGAATTCTTTAACAACTCGAGCACATTTCGAGCACATTTTAGAATCCTATTACAATCTACGTTTATCCTGAATCAACCTAGGTGGATTCTAAATCTACAATGATTCCATTCCGACGTACGACATTTATACCGAAATCAGCGATCTATACATCATATTTATTTTTTTTTTGTAAGCTTATCTATATAATAATGAATTCGTAAATTTTCTTTTAAAAAAAAGAAACGATTTTTTGGTTTATCTCCGGATAACTCCTATTTTATTTTCTGATTTCGAAATTTCAAAACAAAAATAGAACTTTTCAATCTCCCACTTATTTTCAAAAAAAGTTAACTCTGAAACCCCCCAGTTAATGAAAAATTTTATGCTTAAAGAATTATTATTACATGCTAAATACAAACTAAACTTGTACAATCAAACAAATCTGATACATGTTGATTTAATTTAAGGATTTAGTTTAGGATTTGGAATTTAAGTAAAATAATAATAATAATAATAATAATAATAATAATAATAATAATAATAATAATAAATAAATTAAATTAAAATTTAAACTAGCTAATACTGTAACCTAAACCTAAAAGGCTGGGCTTCGAGACCATCTTTAAATAGAACAGTCAATAACCCCGAAAATTTTTGAATGTAGAACAAATCAGAAAGTTCATTTCTTAAAACAATTAAACAAATTAATTAATAAAATAATTGCTAATGGCATTTCAAGACAACTTTGTCAAAAACAGATTAAACAAAAGGGTGTCCGAGGTATTGATTGCGTAGTAGAAAGTTCTACATTATCGAAGAAATTTAAAGTATCCTCATATTTTATATTCTTGATAAGAATTCTAGAATTCACCACATTATTTGTGGTTTACTCAACTAAGAAAGTAATTGTGAATAATTTATTCTTTTGTAAATAAAAGAATAATCTCTGAAGGAGTAAATTAGTCAGAATTTTGATTGGTTGCTTTGTAATTAGCAGATTATTAATAATCGTAATTGATGAAACCTGTGTCACCCATTTCTAATATTGTTAATGATGTTTGATTACTAATTTCTGATTTGCTAGCTAGTCATCAGATCCATAACAAAAAAAACTGCGTAACGTGTGCTATCTTAAAAAAGTATAAATATCTGGCAAGAGAACTTGATCAATTTCATCGTTCAAACAAAGTTAATAAAATAAAATAAAGAATACAAAGAAAGATTAAAATCGTTAAAAATGAGTGCTCAACTTGCCGTAAGAAAATCTGAAGATAGAGGTTTGTGCATGTTAATTCGAATTTTTTTTCGAATTTTACGTAGTCCATTACCCATATTGTCACACTTCATATGATCATCTTTATAACTTTTTATAATCACATACATATTTGAGCTAAATTACATTACAGTACTATCTATGTGTTCGATTGTGATTATATAGAAAGATGGCTATGCAAATAATTTTTAACAAAAAAACTAATTAAATTCATTTTACTAATTATATCAAATTTCAAAGGCTATGCGAATCATGGTTGGCTTGATACCCATCACACATTCTCGTTCGCATCCTATTTTAATTATAAATTTCAAGGTTTCGGATCCCTAAGAGTGATCAACGAAGACATCGTGCAACCTACCACTGGATTTGGAACTCATCCACATCGAGAATTTGAAATTTTTTCGTATATTATTTCCGGTGAATTACAACATAAAGATTGTACGTAAATAATATTCGTGAGAAAAGCAAGTTGTGAAAAAGCAGTATTTACTGTATATTTAATTCTAATCTATGTATATCTTATTCAAATAGCGATGGGTAACGTTGAAATTCTCAAAGCCGGTGACGTTCAATTTACATCAGCCGGCACAGGAATCACACATTCTGAATACAATATTCACCCAACTCTTCCCGTTCATTTTCTTCAAATATGGGTGAAACCTGACAACCCAAATCTTAAGCCAAGATATCAAACCATGACCTTTTCTGAATCTTCTAAAACAAATAATCTCGTACATATCATATCTCCAGTTGATAATAATGATAACTCTACTATTGGCATCAATACAGATTTTCATATGTATGCCAGTTTATTAGAATCAGGTCATAAAGTTGTACATACTGTACAGGGAACTGACAAGCCTAGAAAAGTTTATGTTCATCTTGCGAGTACTGGTGGAAAATTAAGTGTTAATGAAAATACGATATTGCAACAAGGTGATGGTGTATTTATTACCGAAGTTAAGCAGGGAGATGAAATTGTTTTTGATTCTATTGGTGACAAAATTGCGGAATTCGTAGTTTTTGATCTAGCCTAATATTATATTATATTATTTTAATTTATCGATTTATTTATTTAATTCTTTCGTTTATTTATAATTTTACTGTATTTTTTTTATTTAATATCATATATAAAATAAATAAGTTTATCTCGTTTGAGAAAATTTGTATCGAATTTTGTGGATTCTGAATCAACTTGTGTTGCAATGAATTTTGATTAGAGAATTCGAATTCCACTTCTTAAAATTTAATTGACGTCGTAAAACCTTTACCGGATTTGCGCGAAATAACGTACAGTACGTGGGCGCTATTTTGGGATACGAGTTTGAGGCGAGCTAATAATTAATTTAGTCGAAGACTTTTAAATAGCAAAAATTAAGATTTGCATTCGTCTAGATTAATCTTTAGTTGTAAGAATAAATGTGAAAAAAAAAAGTCTTTGCGAATGTAAAAAGTCAAAATTTCCTTGTATAAGTATAAGTAGCTGTTATCTCAACATTCACATATGTAATAAGTAGTATAGCTAGAATACACGTATATGAGCATTGTGATATAAACTAAATTCAAACGCTTTTAATTTGAAAAATTGAAGATTTAAAATTAACTTTAAGTTAGCTCGAAATTCTTTAACAATTTAAGTGAATTTAAATTTTCGTTTTGCAACTTAAGTTACTTAGAATCAATTTAAATTTAATAAAATTTCATTCAAATGTACGTACGTATAACATTAATTATTTAATTATTTTATTTTTTTTTTTTTTAATTTTTGTATTTTTTATTATTAACAATATTGATATTATATTTCTTGATCTAACTCGATTTCACCATATTCTCCAATAATCCTTAAACAATTTAATATTCCTTCCGCAAATGAATCAACACTTTGTTCACTAACACTACCAACCCGATATACTATACATAAATTCATTTTTTGACCTTGAGAAATAGAATTTACGATAAGTGAAGGTCCAACCAAATACATAGATTGAGAAAATATAATATCCATAATTTTCCAATCATTTAAATTCGGATCATCTAAACTTATATTTTCTAAACTATCACTATTATAAATATTATCAGAAAAAGAAGGTGTAAAATTAATAGAAGAAATAGTATTTCTAGATGATTCAATAATATCATCAGGAGAATGTAAATTTGGATTAAATTGATCTAAATTTGAATATAATATAGAACAAATTTTACCATCACCAACAAGTTTCTTTTGACAATTAATCATTTGTTTTAAAATTTTATCTTTTGAAAATAATTCCCATAATCCCATTCTATTATTAAATTTTGATGTATCAGAAATAATTTGTGATTGATATTTATGACAAAGATTCCAAAAATAAAATTTTGTATTATTCATTTTAAGTGGATTATTTGTTATTGGTGATGGAAATGATGGAAATGGAAATAGTGAAGGTTTTGGAAACGTTACTTTAAATATAGATTCTGTTATATAATTACCCATATCATCAGTCCATGGAATTTGTGGATTCGTAAATGATCCAAGGTAAATAGGTGTTAATGTTTTTATGGAATTAGCATATGAAGGAAAGAATGTTTCAAATGTTTCATCGTTGATAGTAGTAGGAGTAGAAGAAGTTGATGATGATGATGATGATGATAATGAAAGAAGGTGATGATAAGATGAAAATAGAATAGCTGTATGTAAAACAGCATCAATAGTTGTAAAACGATCTTTTGCAACCGTTTTTATTTTTCCAACTTCTTCTTTTGTTAAAGAAACCAATTTAACCCTATTATGAAAGTGAGCCATGTTTCTAGGATTCATATCAGCTATCTTTGAATTATATTCTCGAAATAAAAAGGTTTTTAAAAATTCACCAATTCCTATCTTGATAAAATGACATAAAGTTGGTCTTACGTCAATTCTACGTTCTATTAGTTCACTGTTTTGATTAGATTTTTGAATTGGAAGTATAGCGTGAGTATAAGAATCAGGAATTTTTTTTAATCTTGTTGAAGTGTTTGATTTATATCTTTTTAAAGTTTCATTTAATACTTTAATAAAGATATTATTTAATGATAAAGAACTTATTTCATCAATTATAGAATGATGCCAACAGAATAAGATACAAAAGTCATATTCTGGTCTTTCAGATGATTTTTGAAGATTCATAACTCCGACTACAATTCTCCAAAGTGGTTTCGTTTCATCTTCTATATTGAATTTTAAATCATGTTGTCTTTCAATAAGTTTCTCCAAATCATTTCCGGATGAAAGAGGAACAAATTTGATAAGACTTGTTAAATATATTTCATCAAGTTGCAAAAAAAATGGATTAGATGATTTAGAATCTCTAATAGAAATAGATAATGATGGAAATTTTGTGAGAAGAGTTTGAAGGGTAGGATAAAGAATTTGTGAAATTAATCTTTTTGAATCAGCGTTCAAGTTTTTTATATTAGGGTATAAAGAAGGTTTTGTAGATTCGAAAGTATGAAAGTTTCTATTTGTGTTTAGATTATAGAATTCATCCCATCTAAATTTTATTACTAATACAAGATTATGATAATGTAGAACATTTTGACGCATAACATAAAGACGTTCTATTATACTTAAAGGACGGATTACTGTTGGCATTGCTATTATTATTATTTTTTTTTACTGAATTTAGGTCAACTACTGTTAGAAAGAAATAAAGTTAATTCGTGGGACCTTTTTATCTTAAATGTTTTTTTAAACAATAATTCGAATCACTAAAAATGGAGAAAGTAATAATTATCTGTTGTACACATCTCGATTATGATTCCTTTATAAATATTTATCCGTGAGAAGCGTCTGCGAGCCTCCTAAGTACGTCCGTAACTCAAATAAACTTCTTTATTGATTAATTTCAGCCACGGAAGTTGGCAAATTTTATAAATGTATAAGAATGTAAATTATGTAACACTACGATTTATGTATCATGAACCTTGCATATAAATATATATGTAACGCAAACGGTTAGCCGAAAATGTCAACATGTGGAGTTTCCTTAATATCGCAATAAGCTCCGTTTTAATGATTAACGATTTTTGTCTCTTATTGTGTAACAATAAGTTTTTCTATTATTTGTGTTTTTTCCGTTTCAAATTTTAGAACATGTTGATTAGTGTTCTTGTGTTCTAATGGAATTTTCATACCTTTTTTTATTGTTACACTTTTGAATAAATTCTACGTATTAAAAAATTCCCGAATAGTTTATTATATATTACCAATTTTGGGGTTGAAATAATGCATACATTACTAAGAATGTTTTTTTCTTATTTGGATCAGATATACTTACGTACGTACTGTACGTACAAATAGTATGTAGTTATATAGATATATAGTTATATAGTTATATACAACCTAAATCTACAGAAAATTTCTGACTTGCAGTACGTGTTTATAATGGTTATATTATAATTAATAAAAAAAATCATTTATGGTATAAACCATCTAAATAAAGAAAAGCATTCAAAATTCTACTTTTCAACGAATATTCCGAGTTACGCAAAAACTATATAATTCTGTGTAATATCTACCAACCATTTTTATAAAGTTTCAAATATTTATCGAGTAGCAACTTTAGGAAAAGCATACCAAAAAATTTATAGTGCATTGCCATATTAATGATCGGCCGAGTACTATTTGATTGGTTCAAATAGTCATATCGATATTAATAAGATAAAATTTGATGCCTATAAATGATTACGTAGCACCATAGCTGATACGTAAGGGTACGTGCGTACGTACGTACGTATATAGTTGACGTTAACGTTAACTCTGTGAAACTCTAATAAGAATTTCTGGTCCCGTGAGTATGTGCTTGTGCAAATCAGGAAATCATTTTCTTAAGACAAAAAAATTAAAAATTTGATTATTTTTTTTCCTTCAAAAAAAGAAATAAGTATACAAAAACATTTTTGAAATCCTCGTGACATAATCTGTTATGTTTCTAAACAAAAAAGTTGTGTGTGAAATTAAAGTCAATAAAACTGCGTTATCTGGAAAACTCATATGATCATGAAAAATTTTCTTTTTGTTATTTTTTTCATGTGTTACGATGTATGTTTATTCAATTAAAACTCAGAGAGTGACTCCCTACCAATCATGATCATAAATGTATACTTATATAGTCAGACCTTTCGAAGAGCACGCCCTTGGAATCACATTTTAATAATGTGCATCTAGAGAATAATAATAATAAGTGCATTTATAGAGGTCAAGTATATATTTGGGCCAGCATTTGAACCTGCATTTAGAGAGGGTGTGCACTTATAGAGGGTTCACTTAGAGAGGCCTGACTGTATTTAGGGCTAATAAATCACAGGGATACAATTTTTTGTGAGTGCGTTAAGGGATATGTACATATGGTCTTATATTTTTCAGTCATGTGCATATATCGATATATGGGACCCCATAGCGGATGGGCCAAAAAATCAGATGTTTTAATTTTATAATAATTTTATTCTAATCAATCTAATTCTTCAAGATATTAAACTTTTTTTAAAAAAAAATTTTTTTGGCCCATCCCCTTTTGTTGTGGGGGCCCATATAGTCAATTTTGTGTTAAATTTTGTATCAGCTAGTATAGTAAGTGTTGAATTTCATATACTCGTTATAAAGTTGGTGTAATTTAGAAGAAAATTTGAATCCGAATTAGAGTGGATTTTCATATTGTTCATACTTTTCATATATCATATGCGCACATATATTCTGCAGTACACAAAGTAAGGTTCGGAATGGGCCGGGCTAAGCCCGCGGGTTTGCGAAAAAAGTGTCGGGCAAATAAGATTCTACTTGAACATCAACATTCTGATTGGACGAAATTATCAAAATGCCAACTTTGAGCGAAAATATCTTGATGATCACCTATCTAAAATCAATAAAAAAATATTTTATTCCGATTCTATATACCTGTAAAATTAAATTAAAATAAAAAATTATTAATTTTAGATAGGTGATTATCGAAAAACCTTGTCAAGATATAAGTTAAAATTGTTTCCAAACTTTGAGCGAAGGTTTCTCGACAACCACCTATCTAAATTAATAAATTTTTTATTTATTTTAATTATATAGATATATAGAATTAAGATCATTAATTTTAGATAGGTGGTTGTCGGGATGGTTATCTTTGCTTAAATTTTGAAAAAACTTTGCTTTACCGCAGCTTGTTTTAACCACCTATTTAAAATCAATGAGCTTTTTTTATTCCGATTTTATATACCTGTATAATTAAGATAAAATAAAAATTTTATTAATTTTAAATAGGTGGTTATCGAGATATCGCCGCTCAAAGTTTGAAAAACCTTGCCGCAGCTTCTGTTTTGATAATTAACCCAACTTTGAGCGAAGATATCTCGACGACCACCTATCTAAAATTAATAATTTTTTTTTTAATTATATGGATATATAGAGTCGGAATAAAAAAATTTTATTGATTTTAAATAAGTGGTGTTGAGATATCTTCGCTCAAGGTTTAGAACAAAACTTATCAAAGCAAGCTGCGGCAAACTTTGAGCGAAGATATCTCGACATCACCTCTCTAAAATTAATATAGGTTTTTTTATTATTATTTTAATTATACAGATAGAATCGGGATAAAATAAATTTCATTGATTTTAGATAGGTGGTTTTCGAGATATCTTCGCTCAAAATTTAGGAAAAATTTGATAATCAAAACAGAAGCTGCGGCAAGGTTTTTCAAACTTTGAGCGACGATATCTCGATAACCCCTATCTAAAATTAATAAATTTTTTATTTTATTTTAATTATACAGGTATATAGAATGGAACAAAAATTTTTTTATTGATTTTAAATAGGTAGTTGTCAAGATATTTTCGCTCAAAGTTGAAAAAAAAATCACATTTGATAATTAATTTCGTCCAATCAGAGTGTTCAAGTAGGATCTCATTTGCCCGACACTTTTTCGCCATCGACTTTTTCCTGTGTCTCTTCACTTCCATATTTATCACCTACCTTCCATAGTCATGTTAATCTTACCTTAGTAGTATTAGGCATTATTATATTCTTGGTGGCTAATTTCTGCAAGTGCATCTACGCTAAATTGATACGTAGCGTGAACGCTAAAATTAACATGTATATAAGTGCTTGTTCTCGCCTTTTGATGAGCAATAACATTCGCTCTCCAAATTCATCTATAAATCTTCCTACTCATAATTCACTAACCTCCGTCACTATTTGAGAAAAAGTAATACGCCCCATGAAATACCCTGCATAAGTAGGGGTATTTCATGGGGCACGTTACTTTTTCTCAAATACTGAAATAGTGCCCGAGGTTAGTGCTTTATATGTAAGTAACTCCGGTAATCGGAGATTTTTAAAGCCCGCCTAAGTGGCGGGATCACATGACTTTTGCCATTTCGCATTCCTGCGAAATTGGCAAAATTCAAACTCCGCCGAAGCGGAGTTTGAAACTCCGCCAAGTGGCGAAAGTAATGTGATCTAAACTATGTAATATTAAAAAAAATTATTCGTCTACCTATTGCAAAGATATATTTAAAGAATAATAAAAAATAATTTTTAAAAAAATGACGATATAAAGAAAAAAACAAAAAAGTATAAAAAAATAATAATTAAAAAACATTAATTTAAAAAAATATATTAATAGTTAATTTAAATAAAAACACTAATTTAAAAATTTTAAAGATCGCTAATTAAAAAAAAAAATTTAATTTAAAAAGTTATTAATTTAAAAAAAAATAAAACCGATGATTTAAAAAGAAATAATTTAAAAAAAAAGAAATATATATAAAAAAAAGAAGATAATTTACAAAAAACAATAATTTAAAAAATAAAAATATATATGTAAAAAAAAAAAGATAATTTAAAAAAATAAAAACTATAATTTAAAAACAAAAAAAAAAACAACCAATAATTCAAAAATAGAAAAAACAATACTTAAAGAAATAATAAAAACAAATAATACGTAAAAAAAAATAACTTAAAGAAATAAAAAAAAAAAAGATATGTATAAAAAGATAATTTAAAAAAAATAAAATTAATAATTTAAAAAAAAAACTAAAAAAACAATAAAAAAAATTAACAGTTAATTTAAATAAACATATTAATTTAAAATTTAAAAACTGCAAATTAAAAAAAATATATTATTTAAAAAGTTATTAATTTAGAGAAATTAAAAAAAAATAAAAAAACCGGTATATAATTTTTAAAAAAAAAAACAAAAAAAAAACAAAATAATTTTAAAAAAATGAAAAAAACTGATAATTTAAAAAAATAAAAAAAATTGGTATATAAATAAAAAAAAAAAAAGATAATTAAGAATATTATTAACTATAACCACTTATTTACTATTACGTTTAAATTCATTTTCATTAATTTAGTTAGTGAGTATAAAGAATCTATTAATCAATGGAATTAAAACAGCAAAACAAGTTCACAAAAAAGTTCATAAATACTTATTTACTTTACGTTTAAATTCATTTCATTCGTATTAATCATTTTATTCAGCGCGTGAGTATAAAGAACATTTATTAATCAATGGAATTAAAAACTGCAAAACAAGTTCACAAAACAAGTTCATAAATACTTATTTACCATTACGTTTAAATTCATTTCATTTGCATTAATTTAGT